GTTACTGCAGTTTCGTCCTATAAGGACATTTTCAAACTTATACATTAGACCTAGTTTAATGTATAAGTTTGAATATAATTAAACTTAGTTTAATGTATAAGTTTGAAAAATGTCCTTATAGGACGAAACTGCAGTAACGTTAGTTACAAATAAAAGTGGTAAAAAACATAGAAAGTTTCTATTCTTTTTTCTTCATTATGATTTCCTACCACGTAGTAACGGCTACATCCATCAATTTATTAAAGAAATCGTTAATCGAATGTACGTAGCCCGAGAAATTTGAACATTTTCACTTTGATTTATGAACATACCCCGTATAATGTGATCGATAAAAATTCTACCTATCTGCAGTTCTTACCTCAAGCTCATTGTGAACCCAGCCCTTCCTGAGTCTCGAATTCAACAGGGGGGCTTCAAATCTGGGATTCGTTCCAACCAAGAGCACCAAATCAGCTTCTTCAGCCCCGGCAATTTTGTTGTTCAACAAGTAGCTGGATCTGAGATCCGTTCCTGAACCATCTAACGGAAAAGTGTGCTCAGTACAGAGGGCTTCAGATCCCAGTCTATTGAGAAGGTCTTTCACAGCCACGAGCACCTCAGCATCGGCAAATCCTCCAGCAACAGCCCCAATTTTGTCGCCTACAAAAATTGATAATGTTAAGATCTGGTGAAAAGTATATGATAAAAAAAAATGTAATAACGATTCATTTTCCCAAGAAACATTAAATGTATATAGCAGGAAAAAAACAATTATTCAAAAACTAACTATAATAATCTTAACGAAAGATAAAAGTAATCATGCTGAAGAATGTGTCCTTTCATTTTATATGAAGATTGTACTAAGTAATAGAAGTCAGTTTGAAACTAACCTGCATTTTTGACAACTTTGGCAACTGTCAAAAGTGCATTTTCCCAGTCAACAGGTTTCAATTCTCCGTTATTATTTCTAATCATTGGGGTTACCAACCTTTGGCGTTTCAGTCCATCATAGGCAAACCTAGATTTATCTGCCAACCTACAAATTCATTTCCAGGATTAATTTAAACGAAAATTCTCAACTCAACTCAATAACTCAGAGCACCGAATAAAAAGATCGAGGTTATAGACAAGCCGTAGAAGAATTCATGAAGAGACCACAGATTCATCATTCGGGTTTCTAATAATTCAAAGTAGTTTAGGTACACGTGGGTGGGTATCTATCAGCTACAGGCAGTACATTTTAGATGAAAAGTTCTAGGCTAATATAGTGAAAACATTTTTTTTTTTTGATAAAATTTGATTTCATTATCAAATGTAGTTGCTTTCGAGGGCGATACAACAGTTATAGTAGTCATAAAATTTTTGATACCATTTTTATAGTACGATTTGTCTTTAGCCTCAAAATAGGCCTCAGTTTCGACGACTACCTCTTTATCGGCATACTCCTGAGGTCTGGGAACAGGAAAAACTCGCTGGAGCCGAATATGGAGAATATGATAGATAGATATAGATAGATAGATAGATATATTTTCACCACATTACATATATAAATACATTTATGGCATGTCAATATATTAATAGATACAATATAAAGTACACAATGAATAAAATTATACAATAAAACATATGATATTTTGAAAGTGTTACAAACATAATCAAGTGAGGCATAAATAAATAGCGTAAACAGAATGGAATATTTCAGAGAAGTGATGTGTTGAGTGCATGACTCAGTTGCTTTGTTGTGACGAGAAACTCGTCTGTGGAATAAAAGCAGTGTTCAAGAATATATTTTTTTGTGCTTTTTTTGAACTGATCAAAAGATAGTGATTTGATTCTCTCCGGCAAGCAGTTATATAGATTGATATTCAGAGAATTATGTTGAGATTTGGTTAATCTATACCTTGGAGTTTTTAATAACTTAGCATACCTAGTATTATGGTCATGTATATCTGACTGGGTTTGTAACTGGTTGATATTTCTGTGTATTTCTAATAAGGCATTGTAGATATATAATGANACCACGAGATTCTTGCAGACCACTGTTTAAGGAAAAGAAAATCCTCACTGTAATATCTATTTTTATTATTGAAACTATATGTCTCATAGCAAAACATCAAAATCGATTTTCAATTAACACAAACGCCACTCGACAAAGAAACGACTTTAATTTGCCCATTCCAAAATATTCCCTCAATAAAGACTCTTTCATTTATAATGGGTTGAAATTGTTTTTGTTATTTTTTTGTTCTTTGTACATATGTTCAATAACTACCTGAAATTTTATTCAACAACTACCTGCCAATGTATATTATTTTATAGTGTATAGTTTTCGAGAACATTACTCGAATAATTATAACTTGACAAGTAGCGATAGCTAATATGTATGAATTTGTTTCTCGAATTATTTTAACAAAACTTTGTCAATAAGATGTTAATCTTCAGACAATAAAGCATATTTTGATTAGTGTCCGACCGAAAGTTCGGTTTCGGTTGAGTTTCGGCAAAAAAAACAGGTTTTGGTTTAGTTTCGGTGGCAAACCTGCTGAAACTACGACCGAAACCGAAACTGCATTCGTGAGTTCCCGCGCTGTGATCGGTCATGTTCGGCGCGTTGAACTTCATACAAATGACGAAGACATTTTACCGAGTCCACATGCCCAATCATAGCATGACTCGTGACTTTGTGATTTACTTTGTTTATTACATTAATATTAAGTACCTATTTGTGATATTAGGTAACAACTTAAGTGAATAATGTTATGTTCAATATATTTTAAAACCATCAATAATATTCAAAAGAAGGATCTATACCTACTCAAATAAACACCTCACCTATTTTAAGTATTTTCAAGGTGCAATTAATATTTTTTCCTAAATAAGGGTTTGTTATGTTAATTATCAATGAGTGAAAATGTAGAAGACTGCATAACGTTGTGATTCAAAGATAAAAAAACAAAGACTGACTGATTGTTATAACGTTTTCTTTAATTTTTCCTCAAATCATAATCTTTGTAAGGAAGTTCCGGTTTCGGTTTCGGCCGAAACTGAGACCGTTGCCCAAATTAGTTTTGGTTTCGGTTTCGGTCGTAAAAACCAGTTTCGGTCGGACACCAATTCTGATCATAATCTCATTAATTTTATTGATAGCTATTGGAGCGTCCACTGCGTAAATCGTCCTTGGTACTCATTTCACCTCGTTTTAACTTAGCAAACCATTTCTTAACAGTTGATTTTCCTGATGCAAAACCCAAATAATATTTATCAAGCCAAGCCTTGGCTTCAACAGTTTTTTCAGCAAATGTTTTATAACAAACGAAATCTTTTTTATCCATTTTCTTCAAACTAACAAAAGTTACTTTACTCAAAATGTTGTATCCCACAAACTAATAGTACGACAGCTTAGAAATTTGTGCACGCGTCTTGTGAAGGTTAGAGTTAACTTCAAGTCATATGGATTTAATAATAGTAGCGCTATTACAGTGGCACAAAAAAATGGTACAAGAGGTAAAGAGCTCCTAATTAAATTATTCTTTGAAATGAAATTCAAAATCGAAAGATCATTTTTCAATGTTGGCGCGCTTTTGAAGAATGAAGACTGTATTGAAGTGGTGTTGGAAATGTGATTTTAAGCTCTATTGAAGTATGCAGGAATATACAGACTGTCCCATAGAAAAATAGTTTTCTATCGATAACTATCGATATCTCATTTGAAAAAGTAAGTTTTTTACACCATTAAATTGTACGTAAAAAAGTGCTTTAGAAATGTTTCTATAGAAACAAGTAATTTTTGACAGAAAAAAGGTTTAAGCACCATTTTGAAAATGCACATTTTCAAAAACATGCTGTACAACAGAAATGATGATAGATATTGATTGGCGGTAAAGGTCACCTTTAAATTTGTTATAAAATTTGACCCTCAAAGACAGCCATCCATTTTCATCTATCTAGGTGGAAAACAGGCGTTTCCCTCTAAAAGTATCCAATTTAGCCCATTCTGTATCCCATTTTTCTGACCCAGAGTACAAATTCTTCAAACCATTTTTTTCAATAGCAGAAAATCGCATCGAATTCGCAAAACACTTTCAACTTTTATGGATGTAGCCGTTACTACGTGGTAGGAAATCATAATGAAGAAAAGAGAATTGAAACTTTCTATGTTTTTTACCACTTTCATTTGTAACTAAGGTTACTGCAGTTTCGTCCTATAAGGACATTTTCAAACTTATGCATTAAACTTAGTTTAATATATAAGTTTTAATATAATTAAACTTAGTTTAATGTATAAGTTTGAAAAATTTCCTTATGGAACGAAACTGCAGTAACGTTAGTTACAAATAAAAGTGGT